ACTTCATAATATTTAAGAGTTCTTTAAAGCAATAAAGAAGAGACCAACAATGCAAAGGAAATGTGAAGCAAAGATACAAGTAGGCAGTTCAAAGAAAGATTTTCAGCTTCCTTCATTAATAAAATCATAAAATATAATCATTGTATGATGCTGTTTTCATCTGCAAACTTTCAAAAGATAAAAAGCTGTGATGCCTGTAACAACCACCTGACAAACTCACATATGCTGTTGCTGGACATGTATATTGGTAACACTTCAGAGTAACATTTTCAATATCATAATAAAACAACACTTAACCTTTGACCAGCCCTTCCACTCACAGGACAATTTCCTACTTTCCTACTCATAGGTATGCTCAAACATGTGTCAGGATATTTATGGCAGCATCATTTTTATTAGCCAAAGACTGGATACCACCTCAATGTGCATGAGAAAGATTTCTACCATTTATCATGCACCTATTGCTATAAACTACTAAACTTTTTGTTATCTCAGGCTTTGCTTTTGTGTATGCCTAAGTAAATGATATTTATTTATGCTTTACAAATGTAATTTTTCCTCATCTGTCAAAGTTGCACCAGCCCTATCTCATCTTTGCTTATCTTATGCACTACTGTATTGATAACTGATATGGATTCCAATAAGGATCCACATCTTGGACCACTCTCTCACGGTATAAGTGACACCTAAATCATATCCCCTCAGTATGGATATTGGATTTTCCAGGGGAAGTATTAGGTCTTCTTCATTTTTTTTTTCTCTTAAACCAGCACAAATCTGGGTACATGATAAAGACTTGATTATTAGAAATAATTAATTTTTCCTAACCATAAACTGGATCCTCTTGTACACATTCTCATTATATAATTACGTATTAAACTTAAGGAGCAATTGTCAAAAAGCTTGTCCCCTTTGTTTGGTCCTTGCTATTCTTGCATACTTGATATTGCCAAATTCTGTTTGGATAGGACAGAGATTCATACCTGAACTTGGTGTTACCATCTGAAGGAGATACACGAGAGCAAGAAGACTGGGGAAAGGTAGCCCTGTAGTTTCCATTACCCCTGTGACAAGAAGTGAGGCCAGTTCAGAAACAGTGATAACAGGAGTAAGAATCTGTCAAAATCATATATCTGCATATCTTTCTGCAGTAATTAACTCTCTGGTAGAGCTGTCAGATAATATATAGATTGAATTCAAATTTTAATTTCTGATAAACTATGAACACATTTTAGTAAAACACTAGCACTCTATAATTCTTATTTACTACATCTGGTACTCTTTCTCTTAAAAATGTGGACTATAATGACCAAATACAGCCATTCTTTTGTATTAAGGGATTGCTTCCTCCTAGGCTCAATGTTACAATTTATGTCTTCTGGCTTTGTAAACTTCACTGGCTGACTTGCTTCTTCAGAAGCAGATCTGGGGTGTAGATTCCACTCTTCAACACATCAGTAGTGCAAGCACCTGCCAAAGACAGAAATTTATCTAAATTATTCTGGTAAGATAAATCAAGTGGCTATTTTAGAAGAGAATGTGACTTTCTTCCATTCCTTTTTTCCATTGCTGTAGTGATCCTCTTAATTTTCTCTTTCTGGAGAACTCGTAATTAGAGAGATGTGTGGACCCATCTGCTCAATAGAAACAAAGGGAAAAGTTAAAGTGTCTTTGTCAGTCAAACAAGAAGGCTTCTCCTCAATTCTACAAAGTTTTGGCTCTGACTCAGCTGAAATATGGGATAATTGTCTTTTCTTCCCTGAATATAAATAAATAAAAGATTAGGGTTATGGAAAAGTTATTTTCAAATAACGTGAAAATGTCATCCCTTGCATGTGGGCAGCTCCTGTGGCCCTGGAGACCAATTCACTCTGCAGCATCATGGCAGGGAGGAGGTCCATGAGGTTCTCCTTGTGAGGTGGTGTCAACCTTCTGAAGAATGAGATGACTTTCTCATACAGTGTAAAGGCTACGGAAACATTCATCAAACGGGATGTTCTGAACTGAAAACTTTACTGAGAAAAGAGAATTGAGGAGTACATATGTCTAGTAAGAATAAAGAGAGAGGCAAAGAGCTTCAACACAAAATCAATGAATTTTGATCAACGAATCAAGAATTAGCTTTATTCTCTAGGCTGGGGAACTACTAAGAGGCTGGTAGGTAGTCATTAGAAGCAAGATCCCAGAATGATAGTGGCCTATATTTAAATCCTGGCTTTACTATTTATTTCTATGAGTTTAGGCAAGTTACTAAAACTCTGTGACTCTGCTTTCTTTCAGCTGTAAAGAAGGGGAAATGATTTCTTTCTCTTTCAATTTTTTATTGGCATTGATGTAGTTATTATATTGGAAGTAGTCAGAATAGTGCCTGACATGTATAGTCTAGAGCAGTGATTTTCAACCAGTGTGCCATGGCATACTGGTGTGCCATGACAGGATTTTAGGTGTGCTGGGAAAAAATTTTAAAGATCATTAATTGAAGTATTTTCAATGGGCAGCACCTGTAGCTCAGTGAGTAGGGTGCTGGCCCCATACACTGAGGGTGGCAGGTTCAAACCCAGCTCCGGCCAAATTGCAACAAAATATAGCTGGGCGTTGTGGCAGGTGCCTGTAGTCCCAGCTACTTGGGAGGCTGAAGCAAGAGAATGGCCTAATCCCAAGAGCTAGAGGTTTCTGTGAGCTGTGACGGCATGGCACTCTATTAAGGGCGACAAAGTGAGACTTTGTCTTAAAAAAAAAAGTATTTTCAAAAGAATTTCAAGGCATAGTAAGTGTACATATCAAAATTGAAACCTCTTTAAAGTGATTATATGAGTATATCATTGTCATAATAAATAAACATTTTATTGTTATAGTAAACACTGGCTTATTTCTAAAGCAGGTAGAACGTAGCCTTAAAAAATAAGGTGTCAGGAGACCCTAAATGGTAAAATTTGCCAAGGATTTGCCACTTAGCACTGATAAATGTCAAAATTTTTCAAAGTCAATCCCTTGCTGTGCCTGAAGTAAGAAGGAGTTGTAGCTCATACTAAATGTATTGGTCGTTTCTGTCTAGATTTGGCAATGGTAAAGTATTCGGACACAATTACCTTGTAAATCTTAGTTTTGAAAATTTTCCTAGTGTGTTTAATAAATATCTGTATTTCTTTTTAAAAAGCATGAGTTGTTTATTTATTTTTAACATTTTTGATTTGGCATTTTTAGTTTTTATTATGTAGCATTCAATTAAAACGGACTACTTTTTAGTAAAGAGAAAAAAATTATAAGACAACACTAGTATGTTCAATACTGCTTCATCCAGTACATTAGCAACTAAATTAAAAACAATTAGTCATCAATATAATGAAAATTATTTATCATTTGGTTTCCTATGTAGTAAAGGAAATCCACCATGTCCCACAGGCAAAACATTAGCAAATGAAGCTATGGTTCCTAGCAAATTAAAGAGACATTTACAATCTAGACATTCCCGCTTGTCCAAAAAGCCAGCGGAATATTTCAAATGACTTGCACTCAGTAATGCTAAACAAGCAAAAATATAGACCAAATATGCAACAATATCAGGTAAAGCACAAGAAAAGAGATACACAGTTGCAGAAATCATAGCTAGAGAAATAAAATCTCATACAATTACAGAATCTGCTATATTCCCAGCCTGCTATGTAATTATAAAAGCAATATTTGGAGAAGACTATGAAAAGGAATTTCTAAAAATTCTGCTTTCAGAAAATACAATTTTTGGGGATGTTAAGAATTTATCTGAAAATATAGAATTTCAAGTAATATCTCACCTCAAAGAAGTAAACAGGTTTGCAATTCAGTTGGATGAATCTATGATAATGCTGGTAAACCCCAACTTTCAGCATTCAGTAGATTTGTCTCTAAAGAAGAAGTCATAGAACAGGTTTGATTTTGTCAACTGATTCAAACAACAACAAAGGGCCAAAATATTTTCAACTTGATCAATAATTACTTTAATTTTAATAACTTGTCTTGGACTTCTTGCATAAGTATTTGTATGGATCAAACTCTGTCTATGTTTGGAGGTATAAAAGGATTTATAAAAGGATTACAGATGTGAACCACCGTACCCAGCTTACACACTGTTTTCTACACAGAGAAATGCTAGCATCAAAATCATTAGTGCCTAATTACAAAAGATTCTGGATGACACTATTAAAATTATTAATTATACAAAAAGCTGGCCATTGAAATCAAGATTATTTGCAGAATTATGTTCTTCAACAGATGCTTTTCACATGTAGCTTTTATTGCTTATGGAAGTAAGATGGATATCTTCAGGATGAGTTCTATCAAGATTTTATTAATTAATAGAAGAAGTATCAACCTTTAAAAAATGCAACATTCTTTGTGATGAGGTTTGGTGCAATAAAGTTGCATTTCTTGCAAATTTATTTTAGTATTTGAAATCTTAATAAAAGTATGCAGGGAAATAATAAAAATAGTCTCACATCTATAGATAAAATCAATGCTTTCAGAGAAAACTTACTGCTCTGGAAGTAAAGAATTAAAAGATAAAATTCAATAGAAATGTTCAAACTAGTGAAAAGGTATAAACTGGATAAAAATCTTATTGAACAAATTTGACAAACTTTAGATTTATTGTATGCAAATTTTGAAAAATATCTTTCTGCATCTACATTTGACATAACATCTCTTGATTGGGTGAGAAATCCCTTTAAGTGCATGTATATCAGCAAATTTAAATATTACAGAAAAGGAAGTGCTAACAGAAATAACAAATGACAGAGGATTACAATAAATATTCAACAACAGATATTCCAACTTTTGGTTATCTCTCAAGGGTGAATTTCCAAATACTCCTAAAAAAGCAATAGAAATACTTCTCCCAGTCTCAACGTCGTAGTTGTGTGAAGCAAAATTTTCTTCAATGAACAATATTAAAAACAGAAATTGATCATGGCTAGAATCCTTGGAAGAAGATTTAAGAGTATGCCCATTCAAAATTAGACCTTGAAAAGAAGATATTCTAAAAAATGTCAAGCTCATCTCATTAAATGTTGAATTATTGTAAACAGAAAAACAGATAAACATAAATAAGTTTTAAAAATAATTTGAATTGTATCTTTTTATTACCAATTACAATATATTGTCTTGTTTTATTTTTGGCTGTGATGGTGCCAACATTGGCCATGACAAGAAACTTGGAAAGAAAAGAAATAAAACTTTGAATAGGTTAAATTTTAGGTTTCTATGTAATTATTTCTATTTGTCACATTTTTTACACACATTATAGTATGTTACAGTTGTTGAGGCGTATAAATTCACCATTAGTTTTTAAAGTCTTCAAGTATAGGAATTACATCTCTCATTACCAAATATGTTATGGAACCATGCAGTGTGTTTAGCACACTTTATGGGCTGAATATCTCCTGTTTGCTCTTCCTGGTCCTATTTATTTTCTTCTCTGCCTGGTTCTGTTTCTCAGAAAGCTGAGCTCAAAGGACTCTAATGATCCACTCCCTTTCCCCTGGTTTCGGGTCAGGTTAGGTAAGGATGAAAGATAATCAGGAGATTACAGGAATACAAGATAGCAAAGTTGGAGTGCATGTTCTTTCAGATTCCTTCTTGCTGAGTTGTTCTGTTTAGATGTTTGCACAATGAAACCTCATAATTTCCATTCAAATTAAAAGCCTTATCATGTGGTCCTCTCTGTCCTCAGGTTTTAGTAACTGTTTCTTGACCCTGCTCCTCCAGGCCTAGGAGTGGTCACAGCCTCCCCCTCCATTTTACCTCCCAGGCACTTCACTGCTCTTCAGGATTCCCCTACAGTTGCTTATTTACGTGATTGTAAATAAGCTTTTTACTTAATGTTCCTCAGATTTGCACACACCAACTGTTTGTTGCTAGAACCCTGACTCATACAAGAATTGCTATTGAAAATATCTTCCAGAAAGAGAAGATATTTAAAATATGACTTAAAATATGACTCTGAAATTGACTTAAAATATGACTCTGAAATTGGGTCGTTCATATAATTTCAGTGGGCACAGCTAAAATCCTCATTGGAAGGAAAT